CTAACTAACTAACTAACTAACTAACTAACTAACTAACTAACTAACTAACTAACTAAATAACCAACTAACCAAGCAACCAACTAACTAATCAACCAACCTGCTGAAGGAATACTTTAAATTAGTTTCTAGTACTCATACTTGAAGATATTCACTGTTAGGTTGATTTATGTGCACCCTCCTTGAGACAGACTCTGTCTTCCTGTCTCAGCTTCCCTAGTGCTGAGATTATAGGCACGAGCTACCATGCCCAGCCTAACTGGCTTTCTTTATTAAAACATGACAGTGAAAGTCATTAGCCTGTCTACTTACAAAAGGACAAACACAAGGGAATTTCACTGTGTCTCCTTCATCTTTGCCTCTCCTGACTCAGCGGTAGTCCCCAGGTCCTGTCCTGGCTCTTCCCACCCTCCCTCCCTGTTTTATAGATCAACAGCCAGTGCATCCGTGACTTTGTTCCTTTTTGAGAGGTGAGGCTTGATGAGTCCAGTGGTTTGCCCTAGGGTTCACAAGTGAAAGCCATGGGCCTGGGCCCAGGGTTTTCTTAGACCCACCAGGCTCCCTCCAGTATATCCAAAGCACGTTTTCCATTAGGATTGTGCAGCATTGGAAGAGAGAGCTGCTTTCTCGTTTTCCTTGAGAAAAATATGGTGTGCAAATATTTTCGAACACTTCTGTCGGCAATTAAAAGAAAATATTGTGAAAATGCTCAGGAATCCAGGCAGCCCTCGATAAAGCATGTGCCTCTGTGACAGGGATGATGGGGTCTGGGCAGGTGCCAGGAACACTTATGGATAACAGACTCATTTCTGTCAAAAAGAAATGTTTCTCAGCTTAATCTTATGATATTTCCAGGCAAGGAAGTAATGAGGACCTGCCAAACAAAGCGAGCACTCCTCCAGAGCCTCCTGAGTGGGAGGATCCCCACCCTGCACGTGTGTCTTTGTCGTCTTGCCCTGGGCCTTAGGGAGCCGTCAGGCGGGACCCAAGCTCTCTGAGCATCCTTTCTCTCTCTTGTTTCTCTAATGGCTTCTTCTCCTCTTCCCCAGGAAAGCAAGCCTGAACAGTGCCTGCCGGGGAAGGGCCACACTACCGGAGAGCAACCCTCACAGCTCAGCCTGGTCGCCAGGTACGGGGCCGGGGGTCCTTCCGTCAGCAGTATCACTCCCTTCCCAGCTAAAGAAGGGGCATGTGCATGCCCACTGGACACTGCTGAGGTCAACCAGTGCCTCATGTCTTTAGACCTGGGTTCCTTCTGGCTCTGAAGTCACTAGGTGACCAAGACCCGGGAGTGGTTTATGTGGATGGTTTCTCTCGTTGCTCCAGTATATGCAGCTTCTCTCAGACAGTTGATGGTCAAGGTAAATGTGAGTCTCTGGTGAGCTCCAGTGTCTCTCATAGTCCTGGCATGTGGTGTGTGTGCATGCGTGGAGGTCAGAGGTCAACGGTCAACATCTGCTGAGGGCTTTCCGTGTGCCCTGGTTCATTTCCGGGGGAGGCTGGCTTAGTTTTCATGTTCTCTGGCTCCTGGCCAGAGCTCTGCACTTTAGAGAATACCTTCCTCTGTCACTTTCCATTTTGTTTTCTTAGGCAGGGTCTCTCACTGAACTCGGGGCTCACTGTTTTGGCTGGACTGCCTGGCCAGTGAGACCTTGGGATCCACCTGCCTCCACATCCCCCCCTTCAGCAGTGGGGTTACAGATGAGAGCTGCTGCATCTGGCTTCTAAGTGGGTGCTGGGGTCCTGACTCAGGTCCTCATGCCCACAGAGCAGGCATTCACCCACTGACATACCGACATCTCACCTTTACAGCCTCCTTGTTCCTAGGGAACCTGAGTAGCTAGAACCAGGTGGGCAGAGTCACTGTGGGTCCATCTACATCTTCATCATTTTTGTGCTTTGGAGGCGGAGGCCGAGGCCAGGCCTGTTATGGCCGGGGCTTCTTGAGAAAATTGAACTCTAGCTGATGTAATGAGGGCTTCCCTGTGTTGTGTGCTGGTTCACTTACAAAGGAAGCTGGCTCAGGTTTTGTTCCTTCTGGACCCAGGCCACAGCTCTGTACCTTAAACTGTTATATGTCTAGAATTTTCTGTTGGCAGGGAAGGGTCTGCTTCCTGTTCTCCATGGAGAAGACTAATTGGGGGTGGGGTGAGGGGCAGGGTGGGGGTGGGGAAGAGCTGAAGGCTGGGGAGTACAATGTGTTCCACATGAATGGGCCATTTCTCAGCTGAGGGCCTTCTGCTTTTGCTGCTGGTGCCTAGGTGATGTCGTTTTCTCCTGGCCCTGCTGCTCTGTGCTTTCCTGTGCCCAGGCCCGGGAAGGGTGAGAGGCCCAGCAGTGTGAGCCTCAAGACTGTCTTCCTGGCATTCTGGTCAACAGTCTGTCTCAGCAGTGGTGTCCAAAAGCCAGAGTGCCTTGGAGCAGGGCTTAGGAGCCAGGCTGGTGTCACATCGCCTCTCTGCGGTCTTTGGCTCATTAAGTCACCTTTCTGTATACCATCTGTGAAACAGGATGAGGTACCCTGACATCTTCCCCCCCCCCCCCCCCCCCCCCCCCCCCCCCCCCCCGTCCACCTCACTGAATGCTCACAGTAATCCTGTAACGAGGAGATCAGAATTCACAAGCCCACCAGGTCAGATGTTAGTCAGCTGCAAGACATGTGATCATCCTGTCATCTTAAACTATTTTGTTTGTTTGTGTGTTTGCTTGTTTTTGGAGACAGTTTCTCTGTGTAGCCCTGGCTATCCTTTTGTAGACCAGGCTGGTCTTGAACTCCCATCGATCCACCTGCCTCTGCCTCCCAAGTGCTGGGATTAAGTGCAGGCATGTGCCACCATACCTGGCTCATTTTAAACTATTTTGAGATGTGTTGCTTGGGCCAAGTGCTTGGGTGCCTTTCATACTTAGGCCAGGCCTAGACCCAGAAGAGAGGGCAGGGCGCCTGAGGCCAAGGAGGTGTTAAAGAGCATGGGCTGTGACACCTTGGCAAAGGTACAGGACACAGAGGACATGGTGCCACCATTGTTCTTATCACCACTTTCATTCTTTCTATTTCTGGCCATGGAGGAAGTCCGGGACACAGGGTTGGGCTAAGGGTGGAGGGACAGTCAGCAGGGTACTTACTTATGAGCCCTCCTGAGTTGAGTACAGCTCTTCTGTGTGCTGCAAAAGGCTTTCTTCCTGTCTGGACTGAACTGTGGAGAAGTGTCTTTTCTGTTACTTAAAAGCAGTCCTCACTCTGCCCTGATCTGAAATACACTTTCAAACTGGAGAATTTATAAATTGGCTCGTGTGTGATGGAATTGAGACTGAAATGTGTGGAACCTCTCTTGAGGAACATAAATGTCTTCATTTACGGAGGCACCCATGACTTACAGTCCTATCAGAGTCACGTAGGTGCCTATAAGAAAAAAAAAATTGGCACCGGAATGTTTTCCTGATTGACAGAACAGTCCCCAAAGTTCCATAATTGAGCAAACAGCTTGTCACCATACAAATAATTAAGATGCCATTTGAAAAATGTGTGCTGTGGCAAGCGCTAACTTAAATGTTGTTCACAGTTCCTCATCTGAACACAGATTTTTTTTGAATGACTTGGGGCCCTTTTGTTGCTGTTTGCAGCCACTGCAAAGCAAGTGACATTTAATGAACCACTGCAAGAGGGAGGTGGAGGCTTTGCGTAGCAGCTGGTTCCACTCCCGAGTGGGAAGTCTGGAAGGTGGCAGCCTCCAACCGCTGTCCACATGCCCATCGGAGAACTGCCAGCAGTCAACTGCACAACTCCCGTTTGAGTTTTGGAGTCTGTGTTTCCCTCCCTGTGTTCCTTCAACATGGCATGCCACATGAATTTAGTGGGCCGTTCTTTTCCTAAGTGGCAGATGGGAATCACAGCGATTCCAACCTGCACACTCACACCCTCCCTCCCCCTTCATCCATAAAGGCACACATCAATCTGTTGTTACTGAGAGCCACAGTTGCATTTAGATCTCATTTCACTCTGGACCAGTTGGTGAAATTTTCCTACTTAGAGAGGGGCCTTCAGCCTCATCCCGCTTGACAAGGGTGCCTTTGTCTGGAGTATTTGTCACATGGCTCAGGCTCCAGGATGGAGTCTGCCCCACCTGGAAGCAGCTAGGGTGTTGGTTCAGAAGAATGAGTGCTCCCTATGGAATCTGCAGATATTGGATCAGGAAGGGACTTTGGTTGAGCACGTCTTTGCAGGAAAGAGCTGACTGAGGTGTGGAGAGGAGTCCTCTGGTCTGTCTGGCATTGGGCTTAAGATGTCGGTCTCATTCTCTGCACACTGTTTCATGCAGAATCCTGAGGTTTGGTGGGGTGGAATTCGGTGTGTTCTGGACCTTAGGATGAGGGGAACAGGCTGAAAGGCAGGAATAATGAACTTACCTTAAGTAGTGCAGTATGTGTTTCCTTGGGCTGGCTGACTGCCTTGGGTTTTCAGCTCACAGCTGCTGTCATGCTTCAACTCTCACAGAGCTCAGCCGGAGTCCCCAACCTGTATGTAGCCTGTCTCCTTTGACATCATCACTGATCCCATAACTTATTCACAAGCTTTGGGGTTGTCAAGAGTGCTTCTCCATTCCTGCTGTGATTGACATTTTAGGCAAAAGCCCAAGGAAAGCAGAGATCACCAGGCTATTCTCTGTTTTCTTTCTTTCTTTCTTTCTTTCTTTCTTTCTTTCTTTCTTTCTTTCTTTCTTTCT